TCATCTTACGCCTTACATGAGGTTCAGTCTTTGCACTTTTTTAGCTTATTACTCCCCCCCCCACCCCAACCTGTTTTTTTTTTCATGACTTCATGGCCCTCTTTGCTGCTGCTTAACATCCTACACTAGTTTATCTGATTTTCTACCTTGGTAGAGACTTTGCCTTAAACATTAAAGGCAATTTCCCTCGGGATAAATAAAGCTTTTTGAATCTTGAATTTTATGCCTTTCTCAGCTGGCAAAGAAGACATCAGTTTGCACTTTAACTTAGCAGCAGTACAATTTTACACTTTTGCTGAACCAAAGAGAGTTTATTATTAAAAGACAGTGATATATGCATGTGTCTTTGGTAATTATGTGAAGTGCAATTATCTGTAACTGTACCATTGTGCATTTTCTGTAGACTAAATATGACAAATACTGGGTTTGTTGTTGTGTACCGATGCTCAAACACATGGAATTAAAGTGTGTGGTTGACAATACTTTGCCTTCCACATTTGAAAGACAAATCTGCTGAAATGGCATGTATTCATTGAATGTTTGGTTGTTTATATTAATTGTTAAATCAGTCCGGCATTTGATAAAAGGATTGAGTCACAACTTTATAAAATCCTTTTTTTAGAAGGGTTTATTTCTTTGATGATTCAACAGTCAGGTATCTTAATCATATCAAATGATGCAGTTTGAATCTTTAAGCACCTGGTTGATTAACTTTAAACCATATTGGTACGATGGCAAGCTTAATCCTCAGTTTAAATTGACCATACCAAAAATCCACTATATGCCTTTAAATCTATATAATTATTGCTAGAGGCAATTATTTAACTTTTTTCCATGTGTTTTTAAGGGGAAATATATGCAAACCTGATTTAGAATAGTTTTTATGCTAAGTTGTTGACATAAAACTTTTAATTTTGTTCAGTCAGGCAGGTTTGCACTTAAAATCTAAAAAAAATAGATCATAACAATAATAACAAATGGGAAATAAAAAGAAAAAAGTGTATTCTCAAAAATTCTTAGAAAACCAAAACATTTAACACTCCAAATTACATGGAAAGTATACAACAAAGAAGTGTCGATTCCTATTAAAACACATCGTTTTTGTGGTAAGAATGCATCTGAGGGGAAGATTTAAGTACGATAATAACTTCTTAAATAAAATAGTGGTGAGGCAGTAGGTGAGATGGTGTGTTTTTAGTTTGCTTCCTGAACCTGTTAAAAAAATTACCAGAAGATGGCAACGGTAACGCACTAAGAATGCAGCCCGTGTTTTAAATTCAACCACGAAGAAGAAATTCACTTCCGGAAAACTTCCGTGTTGATATTTTTGAGTCTGGCCATTCATCGATGGCTGTTTAACAGTTCGTACTGCTGTTTAATTCATGAAATAAATATAAAACTTTATACATATACCTTTATGAAGGTAAAAATGGATACAGAGATAAGGACAGAGTGGGAGATGCGTACCGATCCAAGAAATTAGACCAAACTTGAGTTGGTTTTACCTGCTTTTCTGGTTTTTACCCCGCACGGTTGGTGATGGAGAGACTTCTGTCCAAACTCACAGAAAAACGTGTCCTTTTTACGGCTTCGTTTGCCATACGACTGGCTTTGGTTGCCTATGGGGACTACCAGGACAGGACCATGGCCGTAAAGTACACCGACATTGACTACCATGTGTTCACAGACGCTGCACGGTTCATAACAGAGGTAACACACGCACTGTTTCTAGAATATAATACAGAATAGCACATAAATCTCAAAAATGATTTCAGTTTATAGTAGTGATTTTTTTAGTAGCTAGTATTGTGGTTTCCTTTAAGTCTGGTTTTCTTTAATGATACTCTGAACAGGGGGAGTCTCCTTACAACAGGTCAACCTACCGTTACACTCCTCTTCTGGCCTGGCTTCTCATCCCAAACATCTATCTCAGCATGGTGTTCGGTAAGATCCTGTTCATCGTCTGCGATGTGCTGTCAGGGCTGCTCATCTACAGAATCCTCTGCCTGCGAGGTCTGAGCTGCCAGGTTTGTGCCTCCGACCTCCATGTTTTTGTGCATTGCAACAGTCCCAGTACAGGTCGCTCATCCATATGTTAACTGATTGGTGCTTTTGTTTGAATTTATCCTTAGATGGCGCGCCGTGTTTGTGCTTTGTGGCTTCTCAACCCTCTGCCCATTGGGGTGTCAAGCAGAGGGAATGCTGAATCCATAATGGCTGCTTTGGTGCTGGGAACTTTACTCTGTATGGAAGGTATGGGGATGGCTTGTGTCTGTGGTGATAGGCGTTAAATTCATGCTGTTGTGATCATCTAGTGTAGATGCTTTGCTTTGTTTGGTTCTCTTCTAGCCGGGCACCTGATGTGGGCAGCTGCTCTCTACGGTTTGTCTGTTCATATGAAAATCTACCCTATTACGTATGCGCTGCCTGTTGCTCTCATCCTGCGCACACCGGAGATGGGAACAGAGGGAACCAAAAACAGTGGGACATTGAGGAAGTCCGCCGTCTTTATTGGACGTTTCGTCAACGGGAGGCTGATCCGCTTTGGAGCGGTGTCCGGTGGAGTTTTTATGATCCTGACCGCTATTTTCTATTACATGTGAGATCAGTTCGCCATTCTATGCACTATGAGATATGGACATTTTAAAATAAGTTCACATAACCTATTTGCTTTACATTCAGGTATGGCTGGCAGTTTCTTCATGAGACGTACCTGTACCATCTGACCAGAAGGGACATCAGACACAACTTTTCCCCTTACTTCTATATGCTCTACCTCACGGCGGGTCAGTCTTTACCCACACAAAGTAAGGACACATGGAGCGATTTGGCTGCATGCGCTCGCCTCACCCGGTTTGTTTTTTGCTCACACAGACAGTTGGTGGAACCGGGGCCTCGGCCTGGCAGCGTTCCTGCCACAGCTCGTCCTGCTTCTGGTAGCGTCGTGGGCCTTCCACCGCGACCTGGCCTTCGTCTGTTTCCTGCACACAGCCATATTTGTGTCCTTCAATAAAGTGTGCACCTCACAGGTAGTCCTTTTTCACATGATGCCATGTGTCACATAATGCTTGTCTAAAACAGAGGATTAGAGATTTTATTTTATTTGATATTTCCTCACATTCCTCACACTTAAGATTGTCAAACAGCCTTTTAACAAATCAGATTTTACATTACAAATGCATTACATAGCTGCTATCAACCCTAGGTAAATGGAATATATTAATTAACTGATTATTCAGAAAAATAATTCTGGTAATTATTTTTCAGAGCATCACCCCCTATTGGTTTATTCAGAACAGCTGATAACATGTCAGATAACCCACCGCTGTTCCTTTTAAGTGACATCATCAAATCTAATGCAATATGCATAAATGTGGGACCCTGTGAGTTTTCCAACTCAGAATATAAAGGAAAAAGCACCGAGTTGGGTTATTCACAGATGACGCTAACAAGATTCAACATTCCCATGAGCAGAGCTTGAATGCTCATTTTTCACCTTTTTGTTTTTCTAATTTTTTCTTGTGGATTTCAAGCTATAGATTTGCTATTGCTATAACAGTCAAAGAGATAAATTAATACATTTTCCCCAAATTATTACATATTTCAGGGGTATCATGAAAAGATTTAACAGTTTGGTTTTGTCTCTGCAGTACTTCCTGTGGTACCTGTGCTTACTCCCTCTGGTCATCCCACACCTGAGTCTTTCAGTGAAGCAGGGCTTGGGTCTGCTGCTCCTCTGGTTTGCTGGACAGGTAATTCACTTTCACACATGAGCTTTATAACCCGATACTTTCTCAGTCAGAATTGTCCCATGCAAAAAAAGATTTCCCCATAAACATTTTATGTTTCTGTTAGATAGAGGAAGCAATTATAGTTAGACACGAGCTTGGGATGCTTGACAACCCATTTTATTTGTCATAATAGGAAGAGCGGCATCTAGCTAATCAAGCTAATCAAGCCTTATACCTAGAAATGTTATTGTGACCTACAGTTATTCTTGTTAAAGTTGATTACTTTTGCTTTTATGTTAAAGTTGAACATAAAGACACTTCAGTCGTCATTTGCAAGTCAGGATGACATAAACTATATATTGCGTCAGTTCATCCCTGGGAGCAAATGTGAGGGTGCACGGTTGTCTGTATGGACCTCAGATAGATTGATGACCCGTTCGGGGCAAGCCCCGCCTCTCACCAAAGGCAGCTGGAATGGGCTCCCCTCCCTCCAATGATTCTGAATTGGATTAACCAGATCCAGAAATTGGATGGACGAGTCTATAACTCGATCTTCTCCCGTGCCTGTAATATCTCGGTTATCTCTGTCATTCACTTTAAATCCATTGTTGAGCAAGAAAACAATTAACAAAGTAAGAAAATATCAAGATGAGCTGTTTTTGTACAGTGTATGGAATAAACCGTGAATAACCCTTTTGGAGATGCCTTCTGATAGGCAGCTCGTGGACAGTAGCACCCGGTTGCGTTTGGACTATACGGTTATTGGGGCTCTCTGTGGGTTACACGAGCCATGGAGCTTTGCAGAAGGTTAAATGTTGCACCATCATTGGCTTTTTCACTGGTTTTAAGCAAATGAGCTGAATTTATTCAGTCTCTGCAAATGTTTATCACTAAATCTTGAGGATCTTGCTTTTCTCTCCTCCAATCACGTCTTTTTAATGCCCCCTATTTTCCTAATCGACAGGGCGTGTGGTTGGCTCCAGCCTACTTCCTGGAGTTTGAAGGCTCCAACACCTTCCTATTGATCTGGCTCGCCGGATTGCTCTTCTTGGTCATCAACTGTTTCGTCTTGATTCAGATCATAGTTCATTACAAACCAAATCCACCTCCAGCGAGACTGAAGGCCGAATGACTGTCCAGTCACTTAAATCTGTTACTCCTACTTA